GTATATATATATATATATATATATAAAACTCATTTTAGTGCATAACATCACGGTGCTCCAACTCAGTGCCATTGTGCTGCATGTTGAATCTAGAATTACTATAAAATAAAGCCTTCAATATTATAACGATAATTTTTTGTGCCGCCGCGCTCACAAGCATAGTGTCGCTGCGCTCAGTTTAAAAAAAAATTTAGATTATCATTTTAAATTTATTTTAATAATTATCATGTTGTTACATAGCTGCTTTTGTTGGTTTAATTGATATAAAATGAAATTAGTGGTAATAATATATTAAGTATAGTATAAAAATGTGCAATTCTTTTAATTTAGGTCTTTGGACATTATAATTTGTATCAGAGCAATGATTATTGAAAGAATTGAATTATAACTAGAGCCATAGGATAAATTATGAGTGGGGTAAAAGCGTTCTTGGTTTAATTGATATAAAATGAAATTAGTGGTAATAATATATTAAGTATAGTATAAAAATGTGCAATTCTTTTAATTTAGGTCTTTGGACATTATAATTTGTATCAGAGCAATGATTATTGAAAGAATTGAATTATAACTAGAGCCATAGGATAAATTATGAGTGGGGTAAAAGCGGGTGGTATAGATTTTTTTCTTGCATTTTATTGATTAATTGCATATATGCGTATATGTATTGAGTTTATGGTTGTTGGATTAGGAAAGAAGACCCTATTAATTATGATATACATGATGGATAGTGTATAACAACAGTTCTAGTGAGTTCTGATAGTTAATATAGTTTACTAGTATTCTTGCACAAGTAATAAGTACTGCACAGAGTAAGCAGGTTGGACATAAGAAACCATAAAAGGATAGACATTTACATGTATTCCATAAATTGAAGCCACCATTATTTAAGGAGATTGTAGAACCCTATATACAGAAGATTGATTGTTGAGAACAAAAAAAAAAAAAAAAAAAAAAAAATATAAAAAAAAAAAAAAAAAAGAACAACATATAGTGCCCTGAGAATAAGAAAGTCCCACTGGCTACATTTTTATTTAAAGGAAAGGCAGAAAGGTGGTGGATAGAATAATAATGAGAGAAATTCTAAGGAAAAGTGAGTACAAAGATTACTTGGGCATAGTTTGTTACTACTTTCAGAGACTAGTTCGTACCACCATTTACACGACAACAAATGCAGGAGGCTTTTATGAGATTGGACCAGGGATACAAAATAGTGATATATTATGAATCTAAATTTACTGTACTAGTAAGTTACACTCCAGAATTGATTAATACAATGGAAGAAAAATATTATAAATTCTTGAGATGATTGAAGGATGAGTTGAGACATCCATTGATACCATTAAAAATTTAGGACTTTCAAAGCTGGTTGGGAGAGCTAGATTAGTAGAGAATGATTTAGCTATACCGTTGTTCAGACAAAATGTGAGCAAGAAGAGATCAGGAGATGATATGACTAAGAGAGATATCACTAAAAAGAGAAGTAAATCATTATACAACAAGAAAGAATCTAAGTTGAACGTGGGAAGTGTATTGGAGTGTGTCTGATGTGACATAAGGCATGCTAAATGGTGTTTTCTGATGACTAAACAATGATTTTGATGTGAAGAGCGAGGACATCGGATGGCTGATTTTCCACAGTAGTTATAGGGAATAGGGTTTAGATTTAGATCATATCAGTCTAGGTAGGGCTACAAATATAGAACTATGGGATTCAAGAGTTATAGTGAAGGATCCGCAAACATGATAGATAAAAGGAGAGCTAATGGAAGTCAAAGGGAGCCAACATATTCTGTTACACCAGCACTAACACAAATATGACCTAGAGTTTGCAGTTTAATTCAACAAGATGATATGAATACACCTAGAGGATCTACGAGTATAGCTCTTAATCCAATGTATTTATTTTTTGGTGATTGATTAATGTAGCATTTCATTGTATACTGAATGATGTGTTAGTGAATGAACTGCATAACTGTATGATAAAAATCATTTTTTTGGTTTGGTTTGGATTCTTCGATGAGATTTTTTATCCGATTTAAAATTTTATTGTACTAATTTATTTTGAAACAAATTTATTTTATGCTTATTTTTGTGCACCTTAAATCATTAGTAGAAATATCGTGAATGAATTTTTTCTAAGGTGGAGAGTTATAATAACATACAGTTATTAAATGTATTTATTTTAAAATTTCTAAATTTTGAACTATGGCATTGTGCCGTTGTGATTTTGAACACTACTGCTTTGGGGTTGCAGCACTAGGTGCTGAAATTCGATGTGGCAGTGCTGATTCTCTCTATTCTATAGTAACTATGGAATGTGCATATGGTGTTGGATTGTATAACATTATTCAATTTTATTGTGTAAATCAATAGTAATATTTTTTTAATTAAATAAATAATATTTAGATTTCTTGCAATTCCTAGAGTAATGCATTTCATACGTGATATTGACTTACATTGTATAAAAGAATGACATGACTAATATGAAATGAATGTGGCATTTATATTTAAGCAAAAAAGTCTAGCTATTAATATTATAATTAATACATGTCAACTCTTTAAATAAATACCTTGTATAAGAGAATGAGCCGACAAACTTTCCTCAAAATAAAAGGTTGGTGGTGAAATCTTATATGTTAGCCTGTAATTGATTGACTGAATTGTACTAACGTGCAAAGAGTGACGATTCTCTATAGATTATTTAAAGTTACTTATAATGATGATGAATTGATGATATAATGAATAATTGATAAGACTTATGAATGATAGATAAAAGAATGAAAATACTTCATTAAAGCTAGATGTCCTGCTTTGCTATTGATGATTATATTTATATGATAGTACATTTCAATTAGTTGATAGATAAAACTGATTGATTTAGCATTGAAATTGATATAACGTGACATAATATATGACAGATATACTTATAATCATTGATAGATATACTGATATGATACACTGATATGACATACTGATAGACACATACACATGACATGATCATTGATGGAAAATATATGATGGAATCATTGACATGAATATATTGTTAGATAGTCGATATATGTTTTATTGTATGACACTTGAAATTTCCTTATAAAATTTTATTAAATTTTTAATAGATTCCTATACTTTTTGAGATGCTTTTATTTTATTGATCATATTGAATTTTTATTGATATATTGATATTGATTGCTAATTTCGTACTTATGATCACTTATTTTATATTGATTGAGTTGAACTTGCATATTGATTCTTGAGACATTGCATTAAATTTAGTGGTGGATTTGGTTGTTTGTTGGGTTGTGTGCTCATAATGTGAATTTGATTGATTTTCAAGTTCATGAAAGGGACCAGTTGAATGAGATTAATTAGAGTCATATTTAAGATTTAGTTTATTCTTGTGTATTTTGTGTTTCTTTGTAACCAAAGGGTTTGTAATAGATGAATGTTTTAGGTTGAACTTCTAATTATTGTATATGAATTTTGAATGGTGATGCATATATTGATAAATGATTTAATATACAGATGGCTTCGTTGGTTTAATTGATATAAATTGAAATCAGTAGGTATGTTATATTAAGTAGATGATACAAATGTGCAATTCTTCCTATTTAGGTCTTGGGGCGTTATAATAATAGATGATATTATGATAATATGAGGACGGCGACATTGCAAGGGTTGATGAATGAAATATAACATAGATCGAATAATGTTAAAACTCGTCTTGTTTGAAATGAGTTGGAAGGGATGACATCAAAGGATTATTGAAGATGCAGTAGCCCAACCACTCAAGCTAGAATATTTTCGACGAAGATGAATGACATGAGTGGTTCAAGTTATATATATTCATTCATCTGTGCAAATATGGCAGTGCCCTTCATATTTTAATATAAAAGTATTTTGATAAAAAAAAACATCTATATAATATTTTGCCAAATAAAAGTATAAGGGTTATACTAATCCAAATATGTATATTATAAGGAATAAAAAGTAAAAAATTCTTAAAATTTTGTATGAAGATAAAAATATGTTTTTTCCTTAAATCTTTATCAATATATATACATATATATATTTTTTAATTTTGATTTTTACAAATATTATATTATTTTAATTTTATCCTAATATAAAATATAACTAATAGTTATTTATTCTATGATTTTAATAATTAAATAAAAAATATAAATTTACTCTCATTTATTTATTATAATGAGAATATAACCCTTCATAATTTAAAAGCATGCAAATAATTCTCATATACCTCCATATTTATCTTTTCCAATCATGAATATTCAATAATTCTTTGTCCCTTACTATCATACTAATTTTTCTCCCTATATATTAGATTTTTATCAATTTAATTAAATTTAAATTTAGCTCTCATTCCTAAAATTAAAAAAAATAAAAAAAAAAATAAATATCAAATTTGTACGCGCTACTCGCTAGTTACTCCTGCGGACTACGAGGAACGAACGGGCCTCAGCCGCAAACTTTCCTAAACCCCGTTCCCTCACGCCCCTTTCTTCCTCGCTAACTATCCCTTTCAACCTTCTACGAACTCTCTTTTAAATGTGATCTCCCATTTCCAGTACCAAAAACAACACATAACCCTCCTTGTTCTCCCCTCCGCTCCTCCTCGTAGTCCAGCAATAAGAGAAAGATGGCTTCTTTCTCCTGGGTTCTTCCTCTCCTTTTCCTTCTTTTCATGGCTACCATCTCCGCCAATCTCAGTTTCTCTGCTGTAGGTCTTCCCCCTTTTCACCCCCGCTGCAAATTCTCACTCTTTATTTATTTTCCTAATGTTATTTTCCCAATTTCAACCAGTTCTGATGAAAAAATTGCATTTTTTTGTGCCCAGGAAGCAGACGGTTCCGCGGGATCAGCAATGGAGGAGATGAGGCCAGTGGCGCCAGTGCCGGGGATCCAGCAATTGATGCTTAACGAAACCCGGCGGCAGCTCAGCAGCTTCCAGATATGTGCTCTTTGCACTTGCTGTGGAGGCCCAAAGGGCCTATGTCTTCCTTCTCCTTGTTGCTATGCCATCAGCTGCAACATTCCAAACAGGCCCTTCGGCTTCTGCTCCTTTCTTCCCAGGACTTGTAATTGTTTTGGATGCCATCTCTAACCTCTGAATCTCTCTATAAAAATTTATTTTAAATGCTAGTTTCTATTTGCTAAGTTACAGTTCACTTTGATGCAAGTGTAATGGGGAGGAAGGGGTAATTGTTTGGTTCCATATGTTTATTTGCATTTGGTTTAAAATATACTGCTTATGTATGAGGTTTGAAAATGGAACATTAGAGCATTGTGTTAGATTTACAGTTTTATTAATCAAACTTTTAAATTTGGGATCAAACTGAAGTTTTGCTTGCTTTCTTTTCTATCTTTGACGGGCCCTGTTTGTTACATGGTTATTTGATTAGATGTTTCTTGTTATTTTGCAGTGAATGATTTCCTGAGAAATTGGACAATAATCAAAATAGTATTTTGTTTCTGTTTGATACTCCTACATTGTAAAATATTCATTTTTCTTTTAAACTATAGCACATGCTTTATTGATTTGTATATAATTTTTTTTTTCTCCATGAAAAGAGGGAGGCTTCTTGGTGCTGGGAATGTGCAGCTATGCATTAACTAGTCAACTAGAAAAGCTAAGGTGGGTAGGAGTTGTGGCCTTATGGGGCATTAAAGCCGTATTATTTATTATATGGTCGGGCTGTAGTGTGTTATTCATGTGAGCTGAGCTATTTATTATGGTTGCTTTCCAGTTTCCTTTTTTGCTTGTGCCCTTCGGTATGAACAGCTGTGGCAGTTTGAATGAATAAAATTACTTAGTTCTCATTAGAAACAGATCTTCTTCTATATTTCCTGAGAAATATTTTAATGGTCAAAGTCTGTCTGAAAGCATTGATCCTCTAAGTTACAGACAATTTACTAGTGATGTTTGATATAGATATAACAAGTAGAACAACTGTGCCTGAACTCATCTAGTTCTTTAATCAATGAAGGATCTCTCTCTTTTTTCTTTTTTCTTTTTTACTTTGGAAACTTGACAGATTTCCTTTTGTTCATGGTGTGTATGACCGCAGTTTTGTCAGCTATTGTGCTGTGAAAAATAAAATCACTGTTACAGAGATTAAACAAACTCAAAATTCTTCTGTCATTTTTTTTAAAAACAAAGCAAAATTCTTATTTTGATTAAGCAGGAACAGTAACTTGTTAGAGAGTGGACTAAAGGGTGCAGAGGCTATTTGGCTACAAGTAGGGGCTAACTTAAGTAAGAATTAGTAAATCTTGGGATGTTAAATTCTGAAAATGGTTTGGCATGATAATTTGCAAAATCATCTAAATCCTGATAAGCTATTTAATCATTTGTTTTAGTATCTGAGATTTGAAGGTGTAGGAGGTCAGATTGAGGCAAGAAGGGAGGATGAGGAAAACATTAGAGTTGAACCCAAGCTTGGTTCCACCATAAAATCAAGGCTCTTATCACTTCAACTCAAATAGGATTTTTTAAAACACCTCAAGTATCATTCTCGAAGATACCACTCGGTCATTGTAGAAGTGAATTGCTCTTAAACTTTGCTTAACCATGACAAAAGATGGCCAAAACCATATAAGATTCCCAAAACCAGAGGCAACTACAAACCCTTTGAACCATTCAATCACAGTTGAATCATTGGCTACTTTGCTATATTACAGCTTGTTATGAACTATGTTAATAACTATGGGCTGAAGATGAACTACTGTTGGGCTTAATATATTGACAGTCAAATCTAATTTCAACCAGCAAATTTAAGCATATGGTGAGTGAAAATCATTTAAACATAATCTTACTAGCTAGTATATGTTGGAACTAACAAGGTAGTTTCTGTTGATCATATGGATCTTTTTTAAAAGAAACATTTAAACATGTTTAGGACATAATAATCCTCTCTTAAAAAGAGGAGTGCTTCTAGCCATTAGTAGAAAATGTGATAAATTCTGATCTTGTGGTTGTTTGTTATGGATAGGATGACCTACCGCTGCCCCACACTCTTTAATGCAATTTGATGGCATTAGTGATGTCATGAAAGGCTTCATTGGAGGGTTTTTTAAATTATGGGTCCTTATTGACGACTGTGAGGTGTACTGAAAATCATGTGCTCTTTGTTTGGATTCACTATTATATTAATGAGGAAGTAATGGAATTTATGATGGGACTGTCTATACTTCTTATGCACCAAGACTTTCCCATGGATATTTTAGCATTTTGCAGCAAAGCTAAAGACTGTTTAGCACAAATTAAGATGACCTTTCTGGCCTTTTTCATATTATACTTGGAGCCACCTATGCTTAGCTTGATTGGTGGGCGTGCTCGGATGGGATACCCCCATCCTAAGTTCGATTCCTCTCGAGCGGCAGCGCCCCTTCAGTGGGGGCTTCTAAGCGCCGGCTGCAGGTGCAGTGGAGTGGGTGGACCGGTAGGTCGACCAGGGTTTACGGACCGCCAAACGTGCTCGACAAACCCTGGTGTGACAGGAAATGGTTCCTCGTCACAAAAAATTAAAAAAAATTAAAAAAATAAAAAAAAAACTTGGAACTTATGCACAGAATTCTCTTTTGTTCTGGGCTATGAGCTGGGCATCTTCACCTGTCATACAGCTGACACTAGATAGTCAAAATCGTATGAACTGGCGATGTTAATTAGATTAATTATCTTTTGTATTTATGGGAAGATGATCTATCTATGATCTGTCTGTAATTAAGTGGTGTTGATTATTTAGGCATCAGTGGTGCTGTGGGCCCCAACCAGGCTTGCTACTACAGCTCGAGGCCAATTAATGGCTGACATGTAACAGCAGTTGCTTATTTGCGTTTGTAATTTGACAGAGAGTTTGGGGAATGTTAGAGGTTGGGTTCATGTTCTCTTATGCCTAGTCTTTTCAGTATATATATGTAGCAGCTTAAATGAAGGAAAGGTGTTTGTGCCAATGGTAGCTGATTTGACATGAAGATGGTTGATTTGAACAGGCAAGCAATGTATTGATTGGGCTGATTGAGTTTGAAGAGTTTGAGGGTCCATTTGAGACTGCCGCAACATGTGGGAAAGTTGGTTATAAAACTGTGGTGGAGAAAGTAAATTTTTAAAAGCTGCTATAAAAATGAGCTATGTAGCGCAACAATTTCTTGAAAACGGTAAAAAAGCGATCGGAAATCAATTTTGAGTTTAGAGGTGGGGCAAAAAAATTGGCTCGTCGATTTCTAAGTTGAGTCATTTTGTTTTTTCGTAATTTCAATTTAAGAATGTTCCTAGTAATCCTAACATTAAAATAGTGTCTTCTTGCCATTATGTGGGAGAGGCCAATGCACATGTAATTTGAAGCCAATTAGAGAGTTCTATGAGAGAAACCACTTGAGACCAAATGTTCTTGATAAAAAAGCTAATAAATATAGAGCATGAAGAAGGTGAATTCTATGATGACAACTACAAAATTAGCATTTGATGAAGAGTTTAAGATTGTTCAAGATTTTATTTTTATTATTTATTTATAATTTGATATAAAATAAAAATATATTTGATAAAATTGGATCAAAATAATATTTTTATCAATTTGGAATTTAGAATCAAATAGTGCATTCAAGATGTAAGAATTTCATGCAAAGCATTTCTTAATGAAATAAATCATGATGTTAGCACAAAATGATAAATAGCAAATCAAATAAACATTTCATAATTAATTCAAGATATTATGAGAGTTGTCATCATCTACTACAAATAATGAAATGAAGATTGATTCGCTCATAGAAGATGAATATGAGCCTCCCTAAATTACATTTAAAAAAAAAAACCTTGACCTGAATAATGTTTACAGGTGCTTCATTTCATGTACTTCAATGTAATTTCTCATCAAATATTATAAAAGATGATATTGATCAGAACTAAAAAAAATAATGAAGAATCTGAACGATGCTCTACATGTGTTAAATATTTGCCTCAATTTAGGATCTGTTTGAGATGGCTGCATCTTTTTGCAAAGATGATCATAAAGTTGTTGTGGAGAAAGTAAATTTTTTGAAAGTTGCTATAGAAATGAACAAAAACACCATAGTCAAATAGAAATTATGATTGCGACTTGAAAAACAAAACAATAAGAAAGTTGTTCCAAATAAAGCCTTAGAATTCGTTTGGGATTGCGGCAGCTTTTATAAAGGTGATTATAAAGCTATTTTAGAGAAAATAACTTTCTTGAAAGTTATTGTAGAAAGTAGTTTCCTAGTACAAAAATTTCTTAAAAACAACGAAAAAGCAATGGACAAACAAAAACTACGATAGAGGTCTTAAAAGCAAAGCAGTAAGAAAGTTGTTCCAAATAAAATCTTAAATCTCATTGATTTATTTGAGGGCTTAATGGTTATAACAATATTTTTAGCGAAGAAAATGATAGCTCACTAAAGATTCTTTGATTATCACAAGAGAAAAAAAGATGAACACTTCAATGAGAGTTAAATGAAAGAACCCTAAAGAATATGAAGCATGCCATATTATAACTTGTACAAATTGAGAGTTGAATGCAATTGAATTTGTGTGTTGTACTCTACAAATGAGAGTTGAATGCTATTGAAATCTCCTTATTGAATTGGAGAAACTTGTTGGAAAGCGACTTCTACCAAACAATATTGAATTCTTACACTGATTGTGCCATGATTTCATGAAGACTAATTGATATGTTGCTTATTTTGTTCTATCAACTGATGATCATTATAACAAAATTTTGGCATATTCATTAACTCTTAAAGATTAAGTGCTCAATGCATTTACTATAAGAAAGTTAAAGAGTAATAAATTAGCACCTAACACAGTTGTTTTTATGCTCTGAAAAGTTTTTGATGGAAGTGGCTAAAGTTAGGTGAAGTACTTTTGTGGATCTTTCATTAAGGTTTCGTTTGGGACGGCTTTCTTATTATTTTTTAAAGCAATTTTTTAGTGTAAAATTTTAATTTTTTTACTAGAAAGCTGCTTTAAGAAGCAGTAAGAAGCCTAATTCATTTGTGATAGCTTTCTTAATGCTTTTTAAAATAACTTTTTAGTACAAAAATTTCTTTGAATTAGAAAATTTTGCACTAAAAAGTTATTTTAGGAAGCAAAAAAAAGCTTGTCCCATACGAAGCCTAAATCAAATTATGTTAAACACATAATCTCATCAACGAAAGTAATTAGCAATAAAAAAATATTAATAATCATAAAAAACTTGTAAATGGAATATTAAACCCTAGCCAGTAGGAACCACGTGTGCCCTTTGATTTATTTAATTATGTGTTTTTAGGTAAATTTTTTCTTTGATAGAAGTGAAGTTCTTTTATGATAGATTATAAAAGTTATTGATGTCGTATGATGGAATATTCATAATAGTCGAGAGAAATTTTTTATTCTAGTATTGAGTGAAAATTTCACAGAGACAGATAAAATTAAATCATCTCATATGAGACATGAGGATTTTCACATGAAAATTTTGGAGAGGA